AATGACACACCGGGGGCCCTGGTGTGCGCAGACGCCGAATGACACACTGGGGACCCTGGAGTGCGCAGACGCCGAATGACACACCGGCCCCTGATGTGCGCAGACGCAGACCGGCACCAAGACTTATTGAGAGGAGTGAATACGCGGGTGGAAACACTCTCTCCGCTAGACGGCGCTGTGATTGCGGCAAAGGCACCAACATCTCAGCAAAAAAAAAGCTTTGCAAAGCAAGTATACTGCAGGCAGCTCATTGCAAGCTAGCAGTAATCCTGCTGTAAATTGCTATCGACCCCCGCCTACTCACCAAACTCCTTCCTTTCTTTCTGCATGCAGACATAAGCAGATTTTGTGCAAGTTTTACGCAAACGAAGTTGCTGTGTTGCGAAAAATTTGCGGAACTCCATTAATTTATTAACTTTATGCATAATTGATAAAGAGGTATTAGGGCAGTTAGGACTGTGGATTCTGCAAAATAAGCTTTTAGGCATATTGACAACATGCAAATGAATATTCTGTTGGGAGTTAGCCACGTGGTGCAAGGAGTTTGCAGATTTCAGTAAAATGGCAGAGCAGCAGCAGAGGAGACAGAGACTGCCCAAATTCAGCTCAGATGAGCTGGAAGTACTGATTGCTGAGGTGACCGCGCATAGGGATCAACTTTTCGGTCGTGCCCACAGATTGTCGCAGGGAGAGCGTGACAAGATATGGCAAGATATCACTGCCAAGGTCAACGCAGTCTCACGGGTCAAACGGTCCGTAAAGGCCATCAAGACCCGTTGGGATGACCTTATGCGGCGCACTAAAGAGGTCGCCCATTTGGCCCGAGAGGCACATCAAATTCAAGTAGAACCTTGTGGAGCAGAAGATCTAATCCCAGAGGAATGGAGAGTCCATCAGGTCATGCACCCTCAGTCAATACTATGGATGGGTGGACTGGATCCTGCGGACTTTCCATACTGGAGGGCAAGTAAGTGTTTCCCTTCAATGAATTTGTCGTGCTTCTAAATATCATCTAATTTTCATTCTATTTGTAACTAATGGACATTACAGAGAGATTAAATTATCATCTGAAATAATATTTTGGGAGGTGCTGTTGGATATTTTTTAACCAACCTGTTCAGAGATGTTGTTACACACCTCTGGAGCAAGTAGGATTTGAATTGGACCTCCTGGCTCAGAGGTATGGACACTACCTCTACATCATCACTAAATATCACCAAACTCATAAAGCAGAACCCTAGGCTATTGTTCTGGAGATATGGGTTTGAATCGCACCAGGCATATGGTGAAATTTGAATTCAATAAAACCTGGATTAAAAGCCAGCCTGATGATGATCAGGAAAACCACAGTCAATTGTTGTAAAACCCATCTGGTTCACTAATGTCCTTAAGGTTAGGAAATCTGCCACTGTACCTGGGCTGGCTTACATGTGACTCTGGACCCACAGCAGTGTGGTTGGCTCTTAACTGCCTTCTGAAATGGCCTATGCTGTTCAATTGTATCAGACCACTCCAACTTCTAAAAAAAGGAATGAAAACTCTCTCCTTGTGTGGTGTAGACCGGCTTCTTCCTGCACAGTAGGAATTTTCTGATTTTATAACAACACTGTGTCCCCACACACCATGGACTGCAACAGTTCAAGAAGGCAATGCACCAACACCTCCTCCAGGGCAAGTAGGAATGGGCAGTAAATGCTAGTCTAGTCAACGATGCCCATATTCCATGAATAAACAAAAAAAGCGAGTATGTTGGGACTGTTAAGTTACTTTTTGTATAAAGAACCTCACTGGGAGATAGTTATAAAGTACGCGTTTTCTTTTCCTATATTACAGTAATGATTACTTTTCAGGAAGTAATTCACTGTCTGTAAAGTGTTTTGGGATGTCCTGAGCTCATACAAATGCTTTACACAAATAAAAGTGTTTTCTGAATTCATAGTCTAGAAATTCATGTCTAGGCTGGGCCAAATGACCCACTTCCATGTTGTAACTTATATGGGTCAATGTTCAGATATGAATTGACTGAGTCCAAACTGTTTAAATAATTTCAAACGTAAAACTAGCAAATATAATACGACTCCAACTGGTACGATTAAAAAAAACATAAGGGGTCAGAATCCACACTGTCACCTGGCTTGACGGATTAAAAAAAAACACATTGAATTAAAATAAACTACTTCTGTCAGGTATTTCCAGACACTATATGAAAAGTAATCATCTGTCTCTCTTAACTGCTTGTTAATTGGAAGAAGAGCTTGGCCCAGCCCAGTCAAGCTGAAGTAAATGGATCCATTTCCTGCTTCTTCTCTCCTTTCAGTTTCTTGGTCATTTGTCTTCTTGCTGAGGTCAGAATTTTCGGTGCGATTGAAAAGAACATGTTTTCCCGCATTTGGAGAACCTCTAATTTTTTCAACTGTTGCCCAATCAGCTTTAGCATGATTTGATGCAGGCTAAAAGCTAAAGCTCACTGCCCTCTGCCCAAGCAGCAGGCTTTCATCTTAATCTGAGAGCAGTAAGGCTCACTCTATGAATGTGAGTGATCTCACTTTGCATATCAGACATCCGAATGGCTCCTCAATGAGTTTATCAAGAAAAGTTCAATTGCCAACAGTTAGTTTCAAACCTGATCTTGGTATTCATCACCAAGACTGTATTTTATGATTTTTGATTTGATTCATTATTGTCACATGTACCAAAATACAGTGAAAAGTATTGTTTTATGTGCTAACCAGACAAATAATACATAAGTACATCAGGGTAATAGAACAGAATGCAGAATATAGTGTTGTAGCTATAGAGAATCATTGAATCCCTACAGCGTGGAAGCAGGCCATTCAGCCCATTAAGTCCACACCAATGATCTGAAGAGCACTCCACCCAGAACCACTCCACTGTCCTACCCCTGTAACGCTGCATTTCCCATGGCTAATCCACCTAGCCTACATATCTCTAGATTGTGGGAGAAAACTGGACCATGTGGACACAGGGAAAATGTGCAAACTCCACATAGACAGTCACCCAAGGATAAAATTGAACCTGGATCCCTGGTGCAGTGAGGCAGCAGTGCTAACCACTGAGCCACCATACTATCCCTTGAGAAGGCACAGAGGAAGATCAACTATACTATATGTTCAGAAGTCTGATAACAGTGGGGAAGAACCTGTTCTTGAATCTGTTCATATGTATTTATCAAAGTTTTGTATCTTCTGCCTGATGGAAGAGGGTGGAAGATAGAATAACTGTGGTGGGAAGGATCTTTGATTATGCTGGCTGCTTTCCCGAGGCAGCGTGAAGTGTAGACAGAGTCAATGGAAGGAAGATTAGTTTTCATGATGGACTGAGCTGCGATCACAACTCTCTCTAATTTCTTGCGGTCTGGGGCAGAGCAGTTACCATACCAAATTGTGATACATCTGAATTGGATGCTTTCTCTGGTGCTTCTATAAAAATCGGTAAGAGCCATTGTGGACATGCCGAATTTCCTTAGCCTCCTGAAGACGTAGAAGCGCTGGTGTGCTTTCTTGCCTGTAGCATCAATGTGGATGGACCAGTGCAGATGGTTGGTGATATTTACTCCTAGGAACTTGAAGCTCTTGACCACCTCCACCTCAGCAGCATTGATAGAGACAGGGGCATGTCCTACATGCATCTCAAATCACTGTTTTATTTTCCCAGTGAGTGCAACACTATACTTGGATCATGAATTTCCCTTGAATTAAAGCTTCACAACTCACTTCTCATGTGATCCTTATAATTATGAGGATGGAGACACTCCCAACACATCCGTCTAGGCTGGAGTAAAACATAGGCTTGGGAAATGAAAAATCAAATTGCAGGGAGCCCTCCCACAAATTCATGTTTAAGTGGAGCTTTGAGTAGCTGAGGAAGCCACTATGTAACCTGGTTTGCCTATAAATGTATTCTATGTCAAAAAAGCAAGAATGGAAATACAGAGATATAGTGAATATGTGAAAAACATGTTTATTTTTCAATTTGTCAATACCTTACTATAGCCTAAACGGCACTGAAAAAAAAGTTGAAAGTTAGCAGTGGAAAAACTCAATCTTCTTTTGCTATTTTGTTTTCTGTCAAGAACAATACAGTCTGCCATGTCATCAAAGCAGTTAAAACACATCTTCTGTGTTTTCCTGCTGCAATGTCAAATCCTCGAGCATTTCTACAGCCTTTACGGCTTCAGCTCAGAAAACTGGCAGATGGGTATTCATCAGTCTGTTCAGGGTCTAATTCCACACCCTCACCACAATGCCACTACCTTGCCTTGAATTGGTCCAGCTGTCCATCGCTGCAACTGTATTCCTATAGCCCAGGCTCTTTGCCAGGGTGATTCCCAATGCCTGCAGAATTGGTCAGAGTTGGGAATGTTCTCTACTCCAGCTAGTACAGCCATTCCAATTGGTTCATGTGGTTATATGCCAAGACTACACGGATTTGATTAACCTGGAGCTACCAGTCTGAACTATTCATATTCTTCTATTGAATTTCTCATTCTGCCGGAGTTTCAGGTTATCCGAATCTGACTCATGATTTCACTAGACACTGACCCTCAACCTCACGTATTGTTTTGTCTTGATATATGTAGAGCTGCATCCATATCTAAATGAGATTTCTGGTCATACATATTCATTGTGTAAATCAGAATTAGGTGCAGTAGGATCAGTTCAGATTTGGAGCATGCTTTGGAGCTTATTCATGTTAGTAGTTGATGTTATTTGATTGCCAGTCTTATCTTGCTGCTGCGTAAAAAGATTTGGCATGCAAGTGCCACATCAAGAGTTGGTCACACAATTCCCAGCTAGCATTCCAGGGCAGTACTGAGGCACTGCTACACTCTTAGAGCTACTGGTCTTTTGATAAAATGTTGAACCATAGTCCTGATGGTTCATGTGGATGGTCAAGATCCTTG